ACATGTGAGGGAAATGCCTGCTGATTTTGAAACCCATCCTTAGACTTCTTCACTGGAGCTGCTACCAGAGGAAAAATTTGAGCGGTTGTACTGTTTTTTCTTTCAAAGCTGTGCATCTTCTCCCAGATGACAACAACAGAGTAGGAGGCCAGTAAGTTGATACAAATGGAAGTGCCTCCCCTGACCATCTTTCTCCAGTGCCAGTCCAAGTTATTACAAAACACCATCATAGCATTTCCTCACCCATCCAAAATAGTAGAGACAGGCAGTGCTACCCATGAAGGTGGGATTTTTTTTTCTTCTTATCTACTCTAGGTAAAACAGCAAGGTCCACCTTCAATTTTTGAAAAGACTAGGAGGCTACTGAGGACAGAGCCTGTTCTTTTATGTCTCATCCAACCTGCTCATGTCAGGTGCCAATTGGAGAGGCTAAACAAGTAAGGAAGAAAGGCACCCCTGCAAGCAGATAATCTGTGCCAAGCTGCAGAGAGGTGTGACAGGAGCATCAGCTTCATTCACAGAATCACAGAATTTATTAGAGTCACATCTGTAAAATGTAATGTCTAATGAGTGCATCCACTTTTATGATTATACTGAATTGTATTATAAAATCTACCAGCAATGTGAGAGAAGATTTAAAAAAATGTCTGGTATACACAGTTTTAGTGTGTTTTGCAGTTCTTGCTCTTTCATACCCATAAAATGTTAAATTTAGCAAAAGGAAAAGAATATAAAAGAAATCACGGAAAACTGAGTCATTGCAGAAGAAATAGTAGTCAAAATAGAATGGTAGCTAGGTATGCTGTAACAGACTATCATTTTAAGCATGTATCCCAGATAATTATGAAACACAGAGGAAAAGTAGCTATTAATAAACAGTGCAGCGCACCCTTGCTTTCACACTAGGAGAATGCCATTCTGTGGGGTGCGGCATCCGTGTGTGCCGTGTGCCAGAACTGCAGCCAGTCTCTACGGGAGCAGTCAGCCCTGTCAGGCAGCATCAGCATGTGGCTGGTCTGGCAAGTGAGTATGGGCTTGGTCTCTTTAGTCTCCAAGTTCCCTGGATGAGTGGAAAGGGAGAGTGTTCCAAAGGCAAGCATTGTCTCTTCCTAGTAAGTGCCTCCTCATTAAGAATGGAGACTGTGCTCCCCAGAAAATGTAGGGTTGTCTCCAACCTTTAGAAAAACAATGATTGTTTCAGATTGAAGCACTAACTTGACTTTGTATGGTTCGGTCATATTTTTTGCAATAACTTAGACGAGTCTGTGGGGAAACGTCCTTACAGGTCATGCTGCTTTATGAAGGAAGCTGTAGAGATTCCCAGGCTTTATGCCGAGTAAGCAAACTTCTGAAATAGCACACTACAATGTGTTTGCCCCGAGGCAGTGCTAACTAGCCACCTAGCGCTTTCAGAGCATGCTCTTGTGTATGTGTGCAGCACTGCTTCATGTTGTACACTATAGATCTCTGTCGTGTCACATTGACATACTAATTTTCTTGCTTTCCTGATTCCATTAGTTACATTTAATCTGGGAAAATCCAGTCAGCCTGATGCATCCATAAATTGAATATATAAAAAGCTATAAAGGTCATATACAATACTTGTGACATTATTACAGGTTGACATTCTCATGTTAATCCATACATATACCAGAATCCTTGCGCTTGTGGTGGTGATCTAATCATTTACAAATGAGATGTGTTTACCCTTCCAGAACTGTTTGCAAGTTCAGTAGGAAACAAGAGAATCACTTCATTTGCTGCATTAAAAATTTTTATGGGAAGGCCTACATGTCAACAAATAAGAGTTTGCAGCCCAATATTTGGAAACATAATGAGCTAACTTTTCCTAGACAGGAGTCTCCTTTTTACTTTTAAGCTTTGAAGTGATTCAGTTCACTTTTCCCAAAGATAAAATGAAATAAATCTGACATGATAATCCCTCCATATCCACAGAATTCCCTGAGGTACTTCTGAGATTATTACATTTCATGCAAATGAAAAGAGTTTTCACAAGTTTCAACAGCAGGTCACATTTTCTTCAGTTCATTATCGATAAAGTATATGCATAGATGTTTGCAGATGTATATATTGCTTCTCAGTTTTGAATCCATGAAATATGAGTACTAGTTTTTATTTATACAAGTATTATGATTATTAATGCAGCTTTAAAATATTTTCTCTTGAAAGATTGACATGGATTTTGCAAGAACCCTAAAATCATTCAGAATGCATTTAATAAGATTTTTATTCTTAACAGTTCATGAAGATTTTATTTGCAATTCATTATTCTCCACACTTTGAGTGCTTCCAGTACTATTCCAGTATTTCCAGTACTCCAGCGAGAAGAAGCATCATTAGGCTTCATTGCAAGGCAGGGCCCATGTGTTTGATGGTTGTGCAGAATGTTTTTTTGAGTGGATCAAATTGATGTTGAGCATTTGCGCAATAAGCTGAATCTTTTTACATTACTCAAGGTATTTTTGAGATAATTCCAAAGAGCAAGCAGGGTTATAGGCAACAAAAAGTCAAATGCATAGTTGGAAAAATTTACTTTTTCATGCTATTTCATGTGGATTTTTTTTCTTAATGTCTACCTTTAGTGGATATTGCTTTCAGTAAGACCTAACCTTAGTACAGTGGTCAAGTAGCCCAAGTTACAGTCAGACTAGTGAATGCCTTTTCTTTCCTCCAGACAGTAGTTCCTTCCATGAATATAAGAACAATCTGAAAAGATATTCCATAGAGTGAGGGAAGAAAGTACATTACAGTTTAAGAGAAAGAGTGGCTAGGTGTGGCATGGATATAAATTGAAGTTGAATAATGCAGGACAGTGGGTTCTTTTTTTAGTTAGCCTGGTATTCCTAAAAATATTTTATTTCTAGTATGATTTAATTAAATAAATGCGAGTTTGTTCCATAGAGCTGAAAATATTGATGTGCATTGAAAATGAATGAATATAATTGGCCTTTATAATAAGAAAAAAAATCTTTACATACAAGTATATCTGGATATATTTTTAATATTAGATGGCTGCAAAATCTGTCTAACCTGTCTAGAATGTGATAAAGTTTTGTGATTTTTAGCCATATATTTTTGTCATCTTAGCATTAATACTTGTAATTAAATCTTATATGTCATTCTACCCTGTTACCTGTTTAGCAAATGTGCACATTTTTAGATAAAAAAAAAGATTGACAAGGTTAAAAAGTAAGATTTGTTTTATCTTTCTCCGATTTCAGTTTTCAGTGCATAAATGTGTAACAGTATTACGTGTTATTTAAATAATGAGAGCTCATAAGCAACTAAGAATTATTTCTACAAATCTGTAAACACCAATAATGAAGTTAAAGGTTTTTGAAGCCTTTGAAGCAAGATCTCTATTGTAATGGAAGTTTTGCATACATGTGGAATGAAGATACAAGGTTCTAATAGGGAAAATGTTACTAATAGTTTAGGTTTGTTTGGTTGGTTTTTTTAAAGACACAAATGCACTGGTACTACATAACTTATGAGAGCTCGGGATACCAACAGGTTCTCCTCAAAAGTGTTTTCTTACTGTCTTCCAGAAAAACACCTGCGCAGATCTGAGTGTGGGTAAAACGTGGTGTGTCACAGAGTAATCTCAAGGAAGTGCTTAATATGATAGTGAGTGAAAGGGAGGAGTGAGAGAGCTATGGTATCTGCTCAGCTTCAGATATCCTAGGCAGCTGGTGACCATTGCTGGCAAAAAACCTGCCCTGGAGACTCTCAGCAGATAGAGAGGGAAGCCACACGAGAGACTGCGTAAGCTGGGAGCTGAGCCATTTTTGAGGAAGAGTTGTCTGACAGGGTTTGGACTGCTGCGTGGAAATGCCAGCTTGCTTCCTTTTCTAGTTCCCCTCAAGAGTTTTGATAGGTTTGAGATGTTCCTACAAAATGCTTAGATTCAATTACAGCAGGTTTTTTCCATACAATAGTGCTGTCAAGAAGTGTTCACCTTCTGAATTTCTTTGGAGTGTTTCCTCACAATAGATGTTTTTAAAACAATTTTGTTTGTTTCTTTGTTTTCCACTTTAGAATAAAATTTGGGAATGAAAACAATAATTTTGCTCGTTTCTCAGGTGTACCAGTGTTCTATAATGTTTCCTTACATGGGGGGGCTCTTCTCCACAAATCTATGTATCAAATTTGTCTTTCCTTTAAGAACTCGTCAGGTTATCAATCGCTCTTAAGGTCATGGACTTCCTCAGTTTTAGTAATCCTTATGGGAAATGGGCCACATGCTCATTGTCTTTGGTATCCAGTGTTTTCTTTTTTATTTTTTTCTTTTAAGAAGCCATCTGTTGTTTTGTAGATTTTTTTAAAATATATATTCTATGATTCCTCCTGCATCACCATCAGTTTCTTTGATCAGTTTGTAGTTTAAAACAAACAAACAACCAAACCAAACCAAAACAAAAAACCCCACCAAACCAAAACAACTGAAATAATATCAAAAGCTTTACACTAGATAGGGCTGAAATGTGGTTATTTCATCGTCAAATGCACTTGTGTGGAGTTTTCTTTATTTTCATCACAGCCTCTGAGCACGTTCCTGGTCACACTCGCTTACCATCCATCATTGTGCTAATCTGGAGTAATGGCCTGATGGCGAAGCAGAGTTCACGCAACAGATAAAGTAATTGCTTTATAAAGAATAAACTGTGCCCGTATGTGGAGAAGAAAACCTCAGTGATGCTTTTGGTGGTAGAATACAGTGAGCTGGACCAGGGCTGCCCAGCACTCTCATGTGCCATAGACACCCAGAGCAGAGAGTCTCTCTAGCCATGTTCAAGCAGCTCATAATCCTGGCGGGATGTGAGCCGGCCTGCTCAGATGTCATGGGGCCAGTTCCCTGCAAGGATAGTAAAAGGTGGTTTTTTCTAAATCTAATACTTGAAGATAAATCCAACTTCCATGTTAATGAGTGCACATGTCACAAGAAGATGATAAATAATATTTTCTTCTGTTATTTCCAGAGCCAAATTTTGTGTCATCTTATGACATTGGGAACTTCACCTACTTCTTCTTCCGGGAAAATGCGATAGAACATGACTGTGGGAAAACTGTGTTCTCTCGTGCTGCTCGGGTGTGCAAAAATGATATTGGTGGCAAGTTTGTGCTGGAGGATACCTGGACTACTTTCATGAAAGCTCGGCTGAACTGCTCTCGCCCGGGAGAAATTCCGTTTTATTATAATGAGCTACAGAGCACTTTCTTCCTGCCAGAATTGGACTTGATCTATGGGATTTTTACCACTAATGTGTAAGTAAATTCTATGGTATATATTTTTTTTTGCTATTTGTGATAGTAAAAACTGAAGCTTCTTTCTTCTTTGTATACTAAGCAAACATGATAAATTCAAACTACTTTTTTGCCCAATCCACTTCCCTTTTGTGAACAAGTGTCAGTTCCAAATGCTTCCCATATAAATTGTTGAAGGTGTGTGAAAGAAGGAAGAGTTCTTAATAATTCCTTAAAGCAGAGAGCCAGTTGTGCTTAAGACTATTCAGTCATCCTTTTCATGCTTTCTTATAAAGACATTATTTTTTATTTTGCACACTACTATAAGACATAAATACATCATGTATTTATGAAATAAAAATTTTATAATTGTAATGTGACATCATGAATTTGAGATGATGTAATTTGACCATGTCAGGAAGAGCTCACCTTACTCAAAAGAGTAGAAGTGCTCTTACATATTTTAAATTAGTCCTAACATATATCATGTGAGTTTGAGGGTCAAACCAATAACTTAATCTAATTTTGCTTGAACCTGTTACATCAATAAGGTAAAATTAAAAAATGTACAGTTTGGTCTTAAAAATTAGAATTGTTAAATATTAAAACATTGGATGGTCGTAAAAGCTCCCTAGACTCCGAACTTAGTATCAAGAGTTACTTAACTCTTAGGAAAAAAAGAGTCATTAATCTCAGAAATGTCCTTTGTTACTTTAAGCATGGTAACTGGAGTTCATATGTTGCTTTGTGAGAGCAGCCCACTTGTTATGGCTGTGCAGCGCAGTGTTCAGAGCACTGCAGCAGAGTTTCAGATTTTGGTTTCTGGTTCTCTTACCTGCTTGCAGTGTTTTGCTCTGTAAGTCAGTTTTGCCTAGAGTTTTAAAAGGTACTTGAGCACCTAAATTGTAGATCAGTGCCCCTTGCTACTGCTGAAAACACCTGGATGCCTACCTTCTATAAGTGTCCATTAGCCAGTTGGAAACAGACACAAATTAATGCCAACAGATTATGATCCCTAAGTTTTTTAGACAGTGAGCATGAATTAGAGTTTAGCCTAGTTTCTCTTGCTTTTGGTACAGTGCTTTACTGACACATCTAGGCATCTTCCAGACTCAGGCTAGCTCCTGAGCGTAACTAGTGAGCGGCTGGTTGCACTGGGCTGTGATGATTCCTGATTTGTGTCATTGGATGATGAGTTTAACCCTGTTCCTACAGTGGAGTAATGTAGTGAATCTAAAGGCTGCTTTTTGAAAGAGAACAGTAGAGACTTTGGGACTACGGGGAATAAGAAAATCTGATGCTGCTTCAACAGTATTTTTAATTTCATTGGTCTGTTTTACTAACTAGTTCAAATCTTAGAAGACAGGTATTTCTCAGGTGGTGTGCTCATGCACTGTTCAACATGATCTTTCATGAGATCAAAATGGCCTTGAGGCACTTCTGCCATGGAAAGCCCAGCCAGAGGAATTCTACTCCAGAAAATCCACGGGGCTTTAGCTGTGGAAGGGGAACAATACTCTTCTCTCAGAAGGGCTGTCTTGGCAATCTGGGGAAGGATGGAGTTTCCTGTGCTACACCTTCTGTGGTTTCTGAGCCTACATAAGGATATCAGGGCTCCCATCAGCACACTTTGGCTCTTCTGAAAATGCCATATGAAAGTAGGCAGTATTTGAAACCATGCTGCTACTTCCCTGTTCCCCAATAGCTCAACAGAAATGGACTATTCAAAGAGGAATTAATTACAACTGTTTGGAGGTGGGGTTTTTTGATAGCTCCATTTAAATTATATTTGTTCATGCCATTAAATATTGTAACTAAATTTTTGGACATTGTTGAATTGTTGTAGAGTTAGGATACTTTCCCCAGGTTGAATACCCGTTCACAGATATCTGCATAACCCATATGATCCACCTTTCAGCCCTGCAACCTGACGGTGGAGAAGGGCCAGGGTTTCCCATGATGGGGAACAGCATATTCCTTTCTGTTGGTGTAACAGCATCAGATATCACTGAACCACGTCCAGCATTTTTCAGTCTGCAGGACTGCAGTTATTTTATTGTAACCTAGTGCTTTTTTTAACATACTGTGAATCATTTTGCAGGGAAAAAACTGAAGCACCTCTGTCAATAAAGACTGAGTAATAGCAAAACCTGCACCCTTTATGTGTGGTTGATAGTTAAGTCCACTATAGCCACTGCATCATAATGAAGCTGATTTTGTTTCTTTCAGACCATCCAAAAATCTATAAGCATGAGTTTAATGTCCTTTAAGGACTTCAAGAAATTCAAGAAGACATTGGTATGGTTAATAAAATTAGTGAGCTGCATTTAGTGATAATTTATATAGGCAAGGAATTATCAAATCAAATGATAATTGATTCTGCAGAAAATATTATCGTGAAACTTGAAGTTTTGGGGTTTCTTTGAAATAAGAGTGACAAGCATAAGAAAGCAAATTGTTCTTTTGTCCTGCTATTAAATCCATATATCCTCACTATTTTTTTTTTTTTCTTCCGTTGGTGGATTTGATCCCCTGGGGTTATTTTTCTTTCCATTATTTTGGAGTTTCTATAGTAGGCTTTCTTAAGTTTAAAGGGGGGAGGGAGGGGCAGGGGGAGAGAAAAAAATATAAAAAAAAGAAATAAAAAAAGAATGCTGTTTGGATCAGTTGTCAACAGTTTTACCTGCAGTGGAAATTTGAGCAACTGCCACTTTCAGTATCGATCCTTTTATGTCAAATTGTGGAAAAGAACAATTCAGTTTTCCATGTTATGAGTTCTCATAATCACTCGATTATGTTGTTTACACTGTGCAGAATTACTTTATTGTCATGTATATCACATTTTCAAGACAAGAACAGGAAATTGCATATATTGCCTGGTTGCTATTCATTCCTGTTTATTCCTCTAATGGGGTATCTTGTAAAGTATGCAGTCTGAGTTGTTTTCTCTTGATGGTTTTCTGGAACTTGCGTTCATATTGCTGTATAACAACTCTTGGAAAACAGGATTTTTGTGGAGGTGACTTACCCAGGGGTTCCATAGGGTCCAGAGACATAACATACTTTGAAAATCCTTGCTTCTATTCTACTGCCAGTTGTTGTATAGAAAAAAAAAAAAATAATGACCCCTGAGAAATATCTCATCCTGAACTTTGTAACTAGAAGAAAGGTGTCCATGATGCATATGATTATGTGTGCAAGTATGGCCTTGCATTAGAGCAGCCGCAGAAGGTTGGAAGTTCTGAGTTCCTCCCACACAACTACGTTGCAAACCTGACAAAAATTTTGAATCTAATGTCTGTGCCTTAATCAGCACATCATATATCATTATCTTGAGATCTCATCTCCTGGCTTTCATCATATCTGCTTTGTTAATTACTTGAAGGATTGGAGAGTTATTGCCTTTTTAATTTATTTTTCAGCAAATAGACTTCTTAATGTTACTTAGGTTAATGTTTATATTTCTTTTGCAGGAACAGCATAGCAGCCTCAGCAGTTTGTGTTTTCAACCTGAGTGCCGTAACTCAGGCCTTTAATGGACCCTTCAAATACCAGGAAAACTCTCGCTCTGCTTGGCTTCCATATCCCAATCCTAACCCTAATTTTCAGGTACAGATATGTGGGAGAAGGACAATAGTTTACATGAGGTTTTTTCAAAGTGGTGTGTGGTTCATTAGTTAATAAGTCCAGTTTTGGAGTCTGTTACAGCCGAAGACCTTAAAAAAAATTACCAAAAAAAAAAAAACCCAAAAGGCTCAGGAGGTCCCCCCTATACTTAATTTTATCCTTCCACAAAATAATTTGGGTTGAAAAGCAGATGTGCTTTGAACGGTAGGAGGACAAAGCCTTAAATTCAATCTTCTGTCCAAATGAAGCACTAAAGTTATCTGTCGAGGTAACAGTAATTCCTGGCTGAGGTATGATCAAACTGTTACTCTCATTTACATTGTATTTGTACTATAGAACTTGCAAAAGGAACATAGTTTGGCTGAAAAGAGAAAGAGCAGTGGGGAGGGGGGAAAGGAGCAGTGGACAGGATTTTGTATATTTTCCTGTGCAAGGTGATCCACACTCCCTGAAGAGTCCGATTAAAAGAATTTGTGATGTGGTGTGTCCCTCGTCTGAACTTATCAGCCTCAGATGGTGTAATAATCTTCAGTTGGCTGACAGCATAAAGCTAATTAGTCCAAGGTGGATCACTCAGTGGAACTTTCTACTGATGCTGAATTTCTGTTCTTCTGCAATGCTATCTTTTACTCTGTTGAAATTTCTGATAGATTTCTGGCTCTGTAACCGCAGCACTGGTGTATAACAGAAGCTAGTCTAATGCCTAGAGCTAGTTGTAACCAATTTTTGTGACTTGGTGGTGCTTTAGAGAACATATGCATGTAGACAGGATATATTAATTGTCTGAGTCACTGGTTTCCTTCCCAGAAAGCACCTTTGTTTTGTAGAGTGCTTATGATAAAATATCAGAAGTTCTGTATAGTCTCAGAAGTAGATTTATCCTCAGATTATTCACCTACTCAGCAATAGCAGACAGAAGTATCTGATTTGGAGTAAGACTACTGTTACATCAGACATTGTATTTCCAAGACTGGAATATGTTAATTAAATATTTTCCAGATTAGAATACTGTTGGAGTCCCAGTTCTGAGGAACACTAGAGATTCTCTAGAGATTGTTGCTTTTCTCTTTACAGAGTGCCATTTCCATCATAAAACCAAGAACCATATGTATTTCAGTGTACTATGAGTGTTCCAGCTAGATTCTTTCCTGATTGATACATTCAGAGAAATTCTTTGGTGTGGCTTATTTTTTTCACTGGCCTGACATGTAGGGCACTCACAGAGCAAGTAGTTGTTTCCTCCTGGTTGCTCAACTGTCTTTCCTCATCCTATGATCTCTCATTATGAAATTATTTATCTGAATTTTTCTTAACATTTGTGGATTTGAAATTATCACTTAATTTCAGAATGAAAACATGGCAATAATGAAAAATAACTGGTAGGGTGTTGGACACTGTATTATTTTATTCATGCTGTAATTCATATCATAATTTATTACATAGTAGAATGGAATGGAAAAGTATGACCTAGGTATGCCTCTCACATAGCCAACACATTAAATAAATGTTATAAAGTACTGCTTTACTGCTCTGCAATTATACATGAGTAAACATATGGATGTTTACACATTTGCGTGCACTAAGCAGCTTTCTCTTTTGTGTTGGCATTTAGTTGAAGACTTAAACACAAAGATGCTAAATTAACTGCCACTTATTTTGCCTTCTTTATTTGTGCTTGAAATTTGTGCATACAATTAGTGAATGCTTTCCTGTAAGAGAAGAGTACAGTTTTCGTATATTAAATATGGTCAGTTCCAAAGCAAAAATGTCTTTTCCGTGGATAAAACTTCATAGTTAGAGCTTCACACTGTTTATACTTGGCTAGTGAACGCAGGGTCTGAAGAAGCTGATAGAACTGTGCATGGTGCTGTGACCTGGGACTTCTGTCACACCCTGGCTGTGGTAGGATATGGAATTTCCTTTGAAAATTTGTTGTGTCTTTAGCACTGTGTCTGTGTAGATTATAAGGAAAACCATTCAGAAAATTCTGTGGGCTGTTGGATGGCAGTTTTTCTCCTTGCCCTATGAACACAGGATATAGCAAAATATTACTATAGCCCACTAGTGGTGGTCAGTCTGGGGCCCTTCCATCTTGTTTAGAGTTAAGGAGCCTCCATATTGCTGCCTCAGAGAAGTGGAGCTTCCTTAATCACCGTATGGACAGTCTGGTCAGCACCAAAATGAGAGCTGAAAGTGGAATTCCACAGTGTCACTACAGATATGCTCTTGGTTTTTATTTACTTGTGCTGTAAATCTGAGAGTAAATCTGTTGCTATTGTTGACTCCTATAGTAACATTACTTTTCTGCATTTACAGTGTGGCACTGTGGACCAGGGTTTGTATGTAAATCTGACTGAGAGAAATCTTCAAGATGCTCAAAAATTCTTCTTAATGCATGAGGTCATTCAACCAGTTATTCCAATTCCTTACTTCATGGAAGACAACAGCCGATTTTCCCATGTGGTTGTGGATGTCGTGCAGGGCAAGGACATGCTTTTCCATATCATCTATCTTGCAACAGGTATGAGCTCTGCACTGCTGTGATAACTGCAAAATTTTGAGGTCTATGAGTTTTAATGTTATGTGAATCAGTTATGGAATACATATAGTGCACCTTGCACAACAGCTTTTCCCCTTTGACAGCATTAACTCTACCTTGTACCTTTTCTGGGTAGATGAATTCAGCAGTTTGCAATGTTTTTGTTTATATTATATTGTGAACTCAAATTTTGGTGTCTGTTTCCTATTCTCCTTTGAAGGTATGAAGCCTACACATGCTTGAGGGAGTGAACGATTGGAAATTGTACAAACAGGACTTCACAAGTTTCTCTGTCTCTTTTATTCTTTTTATGTAGTTCAGAGTGCAATCTCGCCCAAGATAAGATGGTGTAGGGTCCTCTGAGATATCTGTAACTCTGCAAATAGCAAATACAATTACCGCTATTGCTATTTCTGACTTTCCTGCTCACAAATATGTTATTACCTTTCCTTTTCATCTCATTTTTAAGTCATTCATTATGCAATTTTACACTCTGCCATATTATTTGTCCATTTATATGTGTTTAGCAATGAAAATCCTCCACCTAAAATTGCCTTGGTTAGAAATATTGCTTTCTTGAATCAAAATTTCAAACCTCTTAAAGATAGAGAGGGTGTCAGAGAACTGTTTTTGCAGAACAGCGATGTCCCCAGCTGAGACTGAAATATTAGGTTAGAGTAATGTGTTTAGAGCCTCATGCCATAAAACTTAAGGTAGTTCTTAAATGCTTAGTCCCATGCACATTAGTAGGGGATAGCTAATCAAAGCAATGGTTTGTTAATGTGCATAGTTTCTCTCACAGTGAGTAGGCACCAAATACCATAAATTTAGGGAAAG